TTTTTTTTTTTTTTTTTGAGACAGAGTCTCACTATTTAGCCCAGGCTGGCCTCAAACTGCAAATGATCCTCCTGCCTCAGCCTCCTGAGTGCTAAGATTGTAGGCCTGTACCACCATGCCCGGCCATAGCCCTTTTTCAATTCTTATTTTGAAACAGGTTCTTGCTAAGTTGCCCAGGCTAGTTTTAAACTTGTGATTCTTCTGTCTCAGCCTCCCAGTGGCTGGGATCCCAGCCTAAACTAGCTTTTTCTAATGGAACTGGCAGGCCCTCTGCTCTCCTTCCTGAGAAGGGATTCCCCAGGCTGCCCCACGTCTGTGTTCCTCAGAGGCTGTCTTCCCCGTCCTGCCAGCCTTGTGTCCAGACGGTAATTTGTGTGCATTGGTGTATTACTGGGTTTTCCATTCCTTTTCCTTGCTGCAGGTAACCATGCTAGGACTCAGGGGAGATCTGAAGTGGTCCAAAGATTCATATGAAGGTCTCCGCATCTCTCTGCCTCAGTTGCCTCCCTCTATGCTCCCTGTGGAGTTCGCCTGGACTGTGAAGCTGGAGGGAGTGAAGTGAGCCGGAGCTCAGGAGGCGAGGGGCACTGCTCAGGGTGCACTGCCTTGATTTCCCTCTCCCAGAGCCAGCATCACAATAAAGCCACCTTCTTTCCCCACCCAGAGATGGCCTTTCCACCACACTTTAGCCCAGGAAACTGAGTGCATTACACTGATAATTAATGGAGCGAACACCTAAGAGCCATTGCTAGCATGCCTCTCTGTGCTCAGCAGAAGAAGGGGAACTGAGTTCCTGCACCCTGATGGTGGGGGCTGGGCAGTCTAGAGTGGAGACTCCGTTCTCTGTTCCGTCACCTGCTTGCCTGTCCGTGACTTTAGATGAAGAATGAGCCCGGCCACCCCGTGCTTTTGGGAGGAGTGGAGGGAGTATGGAACGTAACCACATGCTTGGTTTGGTATCAGTTGTCCCAGACCGCTCCCACCAAGGTAAAGGAGCCTGGAAAGTAGGGAAAAGCTTTTCAGGCTGCTACTGCTTTCAGAAGCTTGTAGCACAAACTAAGAGCTCTGAAATTGAGCATATTTACAGTGGAACTGTGAAGACAATGCCATCCTACCCTGCCTTTCTAAATATGATCAAATAAATCTATTACATCTAATCATTTCTAACAAAAAGCATGTTGTGGCTTTCTGTTCCTAGTTCCACTTTTTTTCTTGCAAATGTTTTCAATAGATGACAAAAAGAGGGTAAAATTTTGGTGAAAAGCTTTTTATTTTTAATGGTAGCAGGAATAGAACTCAGGGCTTTTGTACTAAGCTAAATCTGTACCCCTTTTAAAACATTTATTTTATTTTTTATCAGGACTGAGAATGAAACCAAGAGGGGCTTGACCACTGACCTACATCTCCAGTCCTTTTTTATATTTGTCTTGTGTGTGTGTTTTGTTTTGTTTTTTTGAGATAGGGCCTCACTATGCAATTCAGGCTGGCCTTGAACTCACTGTGTAGCCCAGGTTGACTTCAAATTCAAGATGATCTTCCTGCCCCAGCCTCCAAGTGCTGGAATTACAGGGATGTTCCACCATGCCTAGCTTTTCTTCATTTTGTGACAGATTCCAGCTAAATTGCTCTGGTAGGTTTTGAACTTGCAATCGTCTTGCCTCACCTTCCAGAGTGCTGGGTTGCAGGCGTATGTCACCACGTCCAGCCCTTATGTTTCACTTTGAGACAGGGTCTTGCTAAATCACTGAATTCCTAAGGCTAGGCTTGAACTTGAAATCCTCCTGCCTTGCTTCTTAGAGTGCTGGGCTTACAGGTATGGGCCGTTGGACCAAACTCTGCTTTCTATTGTATCTATTTCCTCTCTCCCTTGACCTTAGGTCAGATTTCTGTTCAGCTGCACGTACATGTGTTAGTCATTTAAGGACTCTCTTTGCCGGACTGATAGTACAAGACTGGCTTGCCCTAAAGCTACCTAATCTCCTCCCGCTCAAAACCAAAGTCCCCATGCTGAGCTATTTCCAGGGCACCGTGACCTTGTGATTGATCACGTGCACAAGCCACATGCAGTGTCCTGTTGGAGACTGCCCAGGAGGTACCCAGAAGTCTCCAGGCATCCTTTCCTACTTTAAACCCATCTTCCCCTTCACCTAAGGTTAAAAGGTGCTTGAGGCTGTATTTATGGTGGTCTTTTTTGATGGTAGCCTGGGCATCTCCTTGGTTTGCTGTTATTCCCACTCATCTTTTTTCCTTGCCCCAACAACTTGTCCTGGAGGCACTGCACCTGTTCAAGTGATGGGTAAACAGACCTGGGGTTGGAAATGGGGTATTTAAGGTTGGATGTTAAGTGCAGTAATCAGTGGTCTTGGTGCCCAGTCAAACTTCCTGGCGCTTCCTGGGACACGTATTCAGAAAACGTAAGTGTTAGGAAGTGTAGCTCAGTGGCAAGCACAAAGTCCTGAGTTCAATCCCCAGCACCAAAAGTAACAATAAAAAGAAAACAGCAGTATTAGCATGAGCTGAGGGTGAGGTTTTTGGTTCCTGACAAAATGTCATCCATCAGACACCTCAGCGGTTCCAAGTAAGAGTCAGTGACTTCAGCAGAAGCGGCCTTCAAGTCCCTGAGAAGTAAGCTAGGCCACCATTATTAAGATGCTAACAGCAAAGCTAGTGGGAGACTTAAACATACACAGTGGACCCTTGACTTGCGAAAATCAGTTCCTAAGGGCTGGTTATAACTCAAGTTGTTTGTAAGTCAGTACAGCTGAGATCTGGATGTTTACCTGGGTACACTAGATAACAAGAGGCAGATGAATCTTCCACTGACCTAATTAACCCAAGTTACTCGGATGTCAGACCAGGTGTATCTTGGTCCACTGTACTGCGCAGGGGATGACCTCTAACATTAGTGCTGCTTAAAGTCAACTAAAAGCAAGTGAGCTAAAAGCAAGTGAACTGGAGGATTTACCTAGGCTTTCTCTCAGTATTAGGACTCCACAGTGAACAGCCACATGAAGTATCTGGCCTTTCCTGAGGGATTCACCAAGAGATGGATACGTACCATGTTACTCACTTTTGTAAGATTTTCCAACAAATGAATTTAAGGTTCGGACAGGACACGGTGGTAGGAATTTGGGAAACTGGCCATTGCAATGCTTTGCCTACACCATTCCTCTGTGTGTGTGTGTAGTGAGATTGGATAGTAGCATCTAGGGGACTGGGAAGGGGGGATGGGGGGCTACTATTTCTTAGTGTTTTAGTTTGTGATGATAAAGTCCCAAAGGTGTATAGTGGAGGGGGTCACACAGCAATGTGAATGTAATAATGCTACTGAACTTTACACTTAAATCTGGGGATTAAGTCCAGAGCATTGCACCTGCTAGCCAAGTGCTCTACCACAGAGCTACATTCCCAACCCTCTTTATTTTGAGACAGGGTCTCTTTATGCTGTTCAGGCTGGCCTTGAACTTGCAATCCTCCTGCCTCAGCTTCCCAGATACTTGAGATTACAAGTGTGCACCATCACACCCAGCTCTCTACTTTCTTTGTGAATTTGACTCTTCTTGGCACTTCATCGTATTAGATTTCTGCAGAAAAAGAGAACCAATAGGAGATCCACCAATAGGTAGCATTGGCCACTAATTATGGAGATAGAAATATCCCAGGATTTGCTGTCAACAAGCTGGAGACTTAGGAAGGCCAGGGTGCACTTCCAGTCCAAGATGGGTGGCCTAGGAAGCCAGATGGAGTAGCCAAGCAAAGAATTCCTCTTCTCTTTTTTTTTAATGCAGACACTCAGAGAATGGCACAATGCCCACTGACATTGAAGAGGAGGACAATTGCCTTATTGACTCAAATGCTAGTATTGTCCATATATACCCCACAGACACACCCAGAAGTAACATTTAGCCAAATATTTGGGCTTCCTGTAGCATGGTCAAGTTGACACACAAACTTAATCATATAAGCAGAATCATGACATTTGTCCTTTCTTATCTGGCTTAGGATGAATTGTTTCCTGAGACAGGGTTGCACTATGTAGTTGTGACACAGACTGGCCTTGAACTCACTATGTAGTCCAGGCTGGTTCTGAACTCAAAGTGACACTCCTGCCTCAGCCTCCCAAGTTCTAGGGTTATAGGCATGTGCCACCATGCCTGGCTAGCGTGATATTTTTAAAGCTTATCCGTGTTGTAGCATGTATCAGAATTCTACTTTTTATTGTTTGTTTTTAGAGTTCTTTTAAGGGCAAATAATATTCTATTTATGTGTATACCACATTTTGTTTATGTGTAGTCTATTTTATGTATACGCCCATTTATGTGACAATGGGCAGTAGGTTATTTCCACCTTTTGGCTATCATGAATAATATTGATATGAACATTGGCTATTCTTTGGGGTATGTACCTAAAAGTGAAACTTCTGGATCTTATAACTCTTACTCAAATTTTTTTTCCAGTACTGGGAGTTGTACCTAGGGCCTTTGCTCTGAGCTATATCCCCACACTAAGTCACTGCATTGCCCAGGTTGGGCTCAAATTTGTAATCCTTCTGCCTCACCCTCCCAAATACTGGGATTATAGCATGTGTCACCACACCGGGCTTAGTGTACAAGTCCTGAAATTCAAATTGTTTTAAGCATCATTCTTGTATCTTTAGGCTGAACTTAACCCACTAGCTGCAGGTTTTGAACTCTGAGTAGTGCTCTAAGGGTTGTAATGAGGAAATTCCCAGCGCTAATAAAGATACTCATGCCTTGTTCTCTCCTTGGACAAAACCTGAGCCCCTGGGGCAGAGTATGTAGCTCAGTGGGAAAGAGCTTGCTGACTGTGTGTGAGGTCCTGGGTTCCATCCTCACACTGGGGAAAAAAACCTGAGTCCCTTGAAAGCAGGACGGTGCCGCCTCTGTCCTAAAGCCCCTTAATACCAATAGTAGCAGAAACACCAGGACACTGGTGAGCTGTCCACCAGCAGCCACAGTGACTACTTACAAAATGCAAACTTGATTGGTTCTTCCTGCTTTATACCCTTCAACAGTTTTCCCATGAGGATAGCTGTTCTCCAGAGCACTATGATGGGATTCCAGAAACCTCAGTGGTCTTAGAAAGTCCCCCTTCTATGGCGAGCCATTATGGTGAGCCTTGACACAGGCCTAGCCATGATTGAACTTTGAGTCACCTCTCTGGCACGGATGTGCTCTCCCCCATAGCCACGGGCGAGTTCAGCTGGTAGCAGATGTAACCCATAATGGTTGTTATTGTTTCCTTCTGGAATGTGTGGGCGGTACCCTCGCTCCCTCGCTCCCGTGCAGCCCTCGCTTCCATGCGGCTGGAGAGTATAAAAGGGAGAGGTTCTGTAATAAAGCAAGCAAGGAACATGAGAAGGAAGGTGTCTCCCGTCTCTCTGTCCTCGTCCTTTCAGGTTTAGGACCTGCTGGCAGGATCCTGACGTCGCGGCTCGCGACACCCTTCCCTCTCCAGCCATTCTGGTCTTTTCATCTTTCTAAAACCACAGAGGACAGGGCTCAGAATTTAGCTCGGTGATGCCACCACCTGCCTGCCTCCCAAGCGCAAGGTCCTGAGTTCGATCCCTAGTACAAAAAAAAAAAAAAACTAAAACCACAGAGGATATAGCTCAGTGGTAGAGCACTTGACTAATAATGCTCTAAAGTGCTGGATTCAATCCCTAGTACTGCAAAACAAAGGGAAAAAAGTAATACTTTTCAAACATTTCTATTTGCAGCCCTGTTTTATTTTTCTTTGTCCACCATGCTCAATGAAATTTATTATTGTTACATTTTAACTTGTTTGACTTATAGGTGTCGGGGATACTGTGGGTGAAATCTAAAAAGCTACATCCCCAGCCATCCCTCCCACCCCTGCCCCCCTTTTTTAAAGACAGTTTTACTGAATTGCCCAGACTAAGCTCAAACTTTCAACCTTGCTACCTCAGCCTCCCAGGGTGCTGGAATTACAGGCTTGCACCACTAGCCCAGTTTACTCTATTTCTCAAAAAAAAAAAAAAAAAAAAAAAAAAA